CTCCTGGCTCTACTCCCATCTGCCTGCCCAGAGTATACCTAGCACATACACTAGAAGACCCTGTGGTTGACTAACAAGACTGCAGCAACACCACAGGTCTGAAAGGCTACAAGCCAAGGAAACATTTTAATTGGGTGCATGACTAGCCTATACCTACTCACCACCCTCGCACAGCACAAGCCACAACACCTTTAGAAATGTCTTTCTAAAGCCATCCACATTAGTACTCAAATACTTCAGGCTTTCCCTTCGATTTTAGTAAGTTTTTTTGACAAGGCAAACATTTTGCCAGTACTCTACAGAAAGGAACTTCACTGGTTAGAGGAAAGAAAACACTTTCCATTGACAGAAAGTCTACAAGAGATTTTGCTTTCCACATGGTTTGGAGATGTTACACCAATCTCATAGTATGATAGACAGGACAAACAAGCCTGATCCAGGATTACAGTTTAGAGGAGTTTTATGCTAATTATCCACAATTCCCACAGCTGGGACACTCAGCCATGCTGTTGCCAGCTTCCCAAGCATAGTCCAGACATGACTGAGAACCACTGCACAAGTTGTGTACTTAAGTCCATTGCCAAGTGGTCACTATAACTTGAAAACCAAATCAAGATGTATCCTCAGATGCCCTCCACTATTACATATGGCCAGATGACATCTGTGTCATTAGAGAAACACAGAAGCTTACCTTTATAGTCAGAAAGTTTGACATCTTTGAATTGTCCATCTGGCATTACAGCCGTGGCAGTAAAGTCAGGGGCTGGTTTTCCAATGAAAGCGTTTCCTGAAGACATCTTGGTTTAATCTGGATAGGGATTAATGACAATACAGTTTAGATAATGGGAAGTTTACACCTGGAAGTAAGCATTTATTCAAAGCATTTTACCAATCCAGACTGAACCCCAAAGACAGTTTAGCAGCACTTGGTCTTGCAACACAAGGCTTAAGAGTGAAATTTGTTTTGTTACCTGGGTAGTCCAGTCAAAGCACTAACTTCTCCCCACCCTAAATCAGCAGCACAGTAAGATGCAGTTCAATACTCAGCCTATATATCAAACAAAGCTGCTATAAAGACTACTGGCACTTCAAGATCTATGGTTCATTCACCTTCTAATGATACAATAAACAGTGATCTTTGACCAGTAACAGCACAGAGTCTGGGACAGGGCTAGCCTAGTATTTCAGTAGATTCTAAGTCTTCCCATTCTACTTGGTGGATGAGTTAAAAGTCTAGTGTGTTTTTCTGGAGGTTTTTTGGGGTTTTTTTTTTCTGGTTGTTTTTTGGTTGTTTTTTTTTTTTTTTAAAAAAAAAGTTTTGATGACAAGACCCTTGTTCAATTTTACACAGCAATTTAAGTCCTCAAATTTTATCCTCCTGTTGATTCCAGAACAAAAGAACTTTTGTTAATCTCCAGAGACCAGTGCTCTGCATAACTACACTTCAGCCTTTCAAACAATTAAACCTTGTTTTATTTGTTACTAAACTCATTGTAGTATACATGGCAATCACATTCTATGTTAACAATTAAAATTTCACCAAGTCTTAAAATCAGTACAGCCAGGTTGCTTCTCCCCCAAGTCTACTGAAAAAAGTAAGAGGGCACACAAGGACAAGAGAACTCTACTTCTGGCTGCCTGCCCTAAAAGCCAGTCATTTGTAATACACCCTGCACAGTATTTTTGCTCAGTCTGGGAATGCTGTGTGTCACTTTAGAATTCCAGTTACTTCCATAGCACAAGGTTATCTATTTGAATGATTATGAACCTGATTTCTACTACATGCACTAGCTGCCTTGGAGATAAAAAAAACCTCTGAAAGGTTAGCATGAGTCTCATGTTGCTAAGGAAAGCTGAGATATCGATGATGGCCCCCCCCCAAGTCCATTATAAAAAAAAGGTTGGGAACACCTCATTTCTTGGCTCCTTCTCCCTTGCCAGCCACCTTCTTCCTGAAAAACTAGCCCATAAGTCATAAGCATTGAGCTTTCAATCCAAGTTTAGTCTTTAGTAATGGGTTTACATTTGAAAGCTTCTCTTAGATACCCTGACAGTATACAGACAGTAATCAACTACCTCTCAACTTTCATTTTGGGAAGCATCAATACATTCAGCATTTCAAGCTGCTTTTTGCAAGAAAGCTCTTTATCCATATGTTAAGCCACAGGTTAAGTCTCCAACTGCAGCAGGCTGGGAGGGAGTCTTACAAATGAAGGTGGCCAGAACTACCAAGTGTTCATAAGATTGTATGGAAGCAGCCTAGCAGGAAGACATCAATAATCCCCGTGTCAAGCATCACATGTGCCATGAATGCAGGTGGAATTCCAAAACTGCAGCTCTGTAAGAGGGACAGAACAGCCACTGCACAGTATTTACTTGAGATGTCTACAATTAGCAAGTTTTACCTCAAAACCAAGAGCTGTTCTTGTCTGGAGTGCATGACCCCACATTTTATCACTGAATCACATTCCTTCCCATTACTCAAACTCAAGGTCATCCTTTTGCTCAGTACGATGACTGTCCTATATTTGTTGCAACAGCAATCCCCTGGAGTATTTTACTATGCATTCAATGTCAAATAAAAGCTGATGGACTGCTCTTTGATACTTCCCCTTTCTAAGCTACAAATCATTGTCCTCTTTTTAGTTAAAATGAAAGTCATTAATACTAGCAGGAGATTTCAGTTGTCTTGCACTGCAGGAGAACCATCTGCTTTCCTCAGAGCACTGACTGTGACCGGCCAACATTTCTGCTTTTCTCTTTGGGGTGAGCATGTGTTTTCACATGTTCTGATTGGATTTTTAACCACAGCATTTCCTAATCCACAGAGGAACAGACCAGACTCAATGTTATTTCATAGTCACAGAATTGCTTAGTTTGGAAGACACCTTCAAGATTGAGTCCAACTGTTAACCTGGCACTGCCAGGTTCACTGCTAAAATGTCCCCAGGTACCACATCTACATGCCTTTTAAATACCTCCAGGAATGGATACTCAGCCACCTCCATGGGCAGCCTGTTCCAGTGCTTGACAACCCTTTTGGTGAAGAAGCTTTTCCTAATACCCACTCTGAACTTCCCCTAGCACAACTTGAGGCTGCTTCCTCTTGTCCCATTGCTTGTTACTTGAGAGACAAGACCAACAGTCACCTGGCTACAACCTCTTCTGAGGCAGTTGTAGAGAGATAAGGTCTCCCCCCAGGCATCTTTTTTCTCCAGACTAAACCACCCCAGTTCCCTCAGCCACTCTCCATGAGTCTTGGGCTTCACCAACTTTGTTGCCCTCCTCCAGACCTGCTCCAGCACCTCAGTATCTGTCTTGCAGTGAAAGGCTCAGAACTAAACACAGGATTTGAGGTGCAGCCTCACCAGTGCCCAGTACGGGGGGAGAATCCCTTCCTTGGCCCTGCTGATAAAAGCCAGGATAGTCTCGGCCTTTTTGGCCACCTGGGCATGCTGCTGGTGCTGTCAACCATCACACCCAGGTCCTTTCCCACCAGGCAGCTTTCCAGCTACTCTTCCCCAAGCCTGTACCACTGCACGGGGTTGCTGTGACTCCAGTGCAGGACCTGGCACTAAGCCGCCCTGATCTCCCTTTGTTCTAGAGGAAAGGAAAACGGACACTGCCAATCAAGTACACCTGAATCAGGTCAGAACACCTTTGTTGCTCACAGCCACACACGGCCTCAATTATCTTCAACTTGCAATTATAATAAGCCAAGCCTGTGCTCTTAGACAGCAATTCATACCTTTAGGATATCCTGAACAAAAGCGAAAGGCCATTTCAAAACACACCACCCGCCTTCCACTTTGCTACCTTCAGACTGTCACCAAAACGCGGTTAAGCTACCGGACTGCGGCCAGAGAAAAGCGATATCGCCACGGAACTGCTGGGTCCCAGCACACCGCAGCCAGCTACACCCAGACCACGGAACGCGCTTGGCTGAAAAACCCTCGGACGCCAATTCCAAGCATTCATCTGCGCAAAAGACCACTACAACACTGCTCTGCGACAGGGAACACCTGCCACCCTGCATGCTCTACCAAGCAGAGTCCAGCATTATTTTGAGGGGCTCTTTAAAGATTCAGGCG